TGAAAATAATTGTTATTTGTGAGGCGACTTTTATTGTTTAAATTTTACAACTATATGTTTGTTTTTAATGCAGATTGTAACTCATTTCATTGCAACTAGATCTAGATGCAGTGTAGTCTATTCTATGACCAATGACTGAAGGCTTTTGATATCATCACTGAAATCTCGTACATTCAAAGTTTAAAATTATTACAGCTAAAAATAGTTATTTTTACTTTATAAAGAGTTAAACATTGCAACAAATAAAGATTGAATGGAATAGAAGAACAAGAGGACTGATCCGCGGAAGTTATGGTGCATATTCTGAATTCTTGGGAGTTGATCCGCATTCTAGGCACACACCCGTGCACGTTCCGCGCGTTCACGTGCTTGGTCAGCGTGCGGAACGATCCGCAGCAATCCGCACTGATCCGCATTCTAGTAACGCCCTGACAGACAGACAAACCGAGTACCTAGTCCTCGCCTACGCAAAGCTGGGCGAGGCCAATAATTTGACTTTTCCACAACTGTGTATTAAATTTTAGTAATAAATTTCATTAATGATCCACCATGTTTCAGGATGTAATGAGGTAAATGGGCAAAAAGCACTGATTTTATTTTCTCCTAGAGAATGCAAGCAACAAAAATGTTGCAGTATGATCAGTACTGAGAATTCATACGTGCAGTGAACACTATGATTTTGGTGTGAATCAGAGTTACACCATAAAAAGTTCAAATAGAAAAATCATGTTAAGGCTTATCAGCTCTCCACAACATGGTGTCTCATTAAATCATGATACTCATTGACAGCTGGCCAAGAACAGATACTACATCTATTGTACATGTACTGTATGCATGTATTTTTAACTTTACATGTATTACGGATGAGTGAAGCAGCTGGTTTCTGATTCATTCTCTCAAGTGCACTAGCTAATGATTCCCAAGTACGATTATTAGCTGAAGTCAACCACAAGCTCAAACATTCCCTCAAGCAATGTGATGGATTATTCACATAGGTATCTTCAATATTCTTCAATTGAGGATAAGGTAGATTTAACTCCTCTCCAAGATCAAACCAGTTCGCATCAATGAAGTGAATGTCCTTCAAAGCATCTCTTAATAGTTTCAGGTTATTGATATCTAAAAGAGATGGTAAGACAGAGAGAGAGAGACCATAATTGAATTTCTCTTCAGTTCTCTTTTAATAAGGAGGGTTTTACCTAAACGAATCACTTTTCTTGTAGCTAAGCTAGTATCCGCCATACCTGATGCTGTTGCTGAGCTCAGCATAGCAGCTAGCTACCAGCCGGAAAGGTATGCTGGGCCGTTTGTCAAAATTAGCAATAATAATAACACCATTATCTATGATAACACAGTAGAGAAGCTCAAAGAATACGGAAATTGTGCACTGCACTGTCTTCGATCGATAGCATCATAATTAAGGTGGAGGGTCCCCTTTTAATCATATTCACAGTTTTAATGATATTCACAGTTTTAATTATTTCATAGTCTATACTATATCCCAACTGCACTGAGTTTGACCCAAGAAAAACTGGAATAACTTTTTATAGGAATGTAGGATAAGGATGAAACTTTCACAGGTTCTCAGTCGCCCAATGCCATCACAGGATCTCAGATCTTGGGTCTCTCAGCCCTTGGAAACCCTGAGAACCGGGTTCTCCCTATAAACCCAATGGCATACCAAAATGACGTTTTATGACAATTTATCTACGTCATAGTTTACATAAGAACATGTGGTCGAGCGCCCAAACTGATAATTCTTCTTTTTAAAAGCTAACAGAGCAAGATTTTTTGATAATTATTGCCTGTATAAAGACTAGTTGACTCCAGCAGCTATTGTACTGCTTATCAGAACAAACAAAACCCATTTAAGAGTGCAATGTACTAATGTAGGCCAACTACGCAGCTGTAAAATGGCGGCCATGCTTCTATGAATATCATTATAAGACGTCATCAGTGACGTGTACCTACATTTTTCAAATTCCAAGCGGCTAGTGTCAAACTCAGTTGGGATATAATATAGTTTACATAATGACCAACCCCCTGACATTATCACCCACGCAGAAACAACTTTTCAATTTTTAGCGTCTACTAAATTTAGCTATATTAGCGAGAGAGCTTTAAATCGCTAAATTAAATAGACGCCAAAATAATTATTATTCATTATAATGCCGGGTTATTATTTATTTTTAGCGTCTACTAAATTTAGCTATATTAGCAAGAGAGCTTTAGATCGCTAAATTAAATAGACGCCAAAATAATAATTAGTAACGCTAAACATGACTTTTGCTGATTTCGCTAAAATTAGTAGACGTAAATAATAGTTGGCCATATCTATGAGTAAGGTAATTAAATTATGTCGGCACACCACACTAGGTGAAAGTTGTTTTAGACGTTTTATGGTTTTATAAGAGATAGAGCGGCTGTATGTGGTATGTGGGAACTGAGTTCTTTTGCCTAGACCCCCACCTGTCAGGATTAATACAGAGGCTCATGGTAGCAGGGGCCGCAGATCTAGGATTGAATTTTGGGGGGGGGGCCATAATGATATGGGTGGGGTAATTAGTGGGTGTGGTCAACGAGGCCAGCTAGCTAGCATGCAGGATCATTAGCATAGATATACTACACAGACCGGGATTGGAAACTTCCCCGTTTTAATTTTATTCCGTGCATGATCCGTGTTGTCGTTGCTATGGTTATTATTACAGTTTATTAATAGTTATTAACAAATAAAATGGCCATCGGTGAACTTTTTCTCTTTTGTGCAGTGTTCTCCAGCCTCTCTTGCATCTCACAAAACACGGAAGAAGCTGAACTGCTGGTAGAAGTTAATAATGACCTTTCTCTACCTTCTGCATCTACAAAAATTGCTTAAATCATGGAATAGTAAATGGAAAGAGCTTGCATGTTTTGTATCTCGTGACATTTACCTTTAATTGATTTTAGCATGATTATAAACAACTAGAATCATTAAACTATGCTATTCCACTAGTGGAAAAATTTCTTCATCATATGCAAGTATCAAACAATAGGTCCGATGATGAGATCAGAAGAACGAGTCCCACAAAG